TCTAAGGAAATACCTTCTAGAATATTAAGAAGAGACAAAGTACTATTCAGTTCTGACTTCCTAACTACTCTTCTAAAACCCAAGTTCCACCCAAACCTTGAGGAAGCTTGTGAGGGCACCAAGAAACTGGATATGAGCTTATTTTTCAAATTAGACAAGGCAAACAGAGAAGGGAACTGATCCTTCAAGGGAGAATCCCCAATCCAGACTTCTTCCCAAAATTTAATGAGGTTACCAGAGTGCAAATTATACCTTGTCCACGGAGTGAAGAGAGGCAAAGAAGCTTGAATAGCTTTCCATGGAGAAGCTCTTGTAGTCCTAGCCGAAATTCCAACATCCCATCCATTGCTTGCGAGCCCATGAATACTCTCCACGATCTTTACCCACAACCTCTCTTTCTCTAGGGGAAACCTCCATAACCATACCCACCAAAGTCACATTCCTCTTCTGAATATTCCCTAACCCTAGTCCTCCACATTCTTTGCTTCTGCTCACTAGGTCCCACCAAACCCTATGATCATTTTTCTCCTCACCTGGGTCCGATAGAAAATCCCTCATTAATTTTTCCAACCTACTGGAAATCCTCCTTGGCATTTTAAAAACTGACAAAAAATATATTGGAAGGTTGGCAAGGGTAGATTTTATCAATGTGGCTCTCCCTCCCAAGGACAAGTAATTCCTCTCCCAAGAGGCTAGTTGCTTCTCAAATCTCTCTACCACCGAATCCTAGGAGTTGTCTCATTGGATTATCCTCGAGAGGCAATCCCAAGTACTTTGTTTCTACCTTTTTGGTTCCTTCTAACTCTGGTTCTGGGTTTGAGAAGGGCCATCAGGGATTCTGAATTAAATAGTACTTTGTCTTTGATGGGCATCCTTGATGAGGTGTATTTTGGACCCTTCTCAAGCTGATAAAAGAATCTGGACTCCTACTTCTCATGGTTTGTTTACTTGCTCATTCTTCTTCAATACCCTAACCCATCCAACAGCTACTGGGGGGTCCACCTTTCCTTATTAAAGAGGTGTGGAGTAAACCTATTCCACCTAGGATTGGAAGTTTCTGTTGGGAAGCATTACCTAGAAAGAATCAACATCTGTGACTTACTTCAAAGAAAAAGACCGGAGAATTGTTTGTCCCCTTATTGGTGCTTTCTTTGTAAGGTCGATCGATGGTGAGAATTGCTACCATTTATTAATCTCCTGTACTTTTGTTAAGGGTTTATGGGAATGGTTCTCCTCTTTGTTTAGATGCAGGTGGAAGTGGAACCTGCTGCCAGATGTGAAAAGTTTGTTTGCACCTTCATTTTTCAGATTGCCAAAGAAAAGGGGAAGATTAATGTGGCGTTGTGTAAGGACTGCTGTTATTTGGACCATTTGGGAAGAAAGAAGCTCTAGAGTATTCTTAGGGAAGGAGAGGAGCAATGAAGCCATTCAGGAGGTAATTTTTATCAGGGTAATACATTGACTTAAATCTATGGAGCTTTTCAACAGTGTGACAATGGATGACCTGTCAAGAAAGTGGAAAGAAGTTGCTTTTTCAGCCCTGGATCAGGAAGTATCTGTCCCAGTATGGTGCCCCCACCTCCTAGTGGCTGTTACAAACTAAACTTTGATGGAAGCATTTTTGGCAACCCAGGGCCATTTGGATATTGGGGGTGTTCTAAGAGATGAGAAAGGGGTAATAATTGCCTTGTTCTCAGGCCCAAGAAGCTGGTGACTCTCTTAGAGCTGAGATTTTGGTGGCATTGGAAGGTATTCAAAGAGCTAAAGACTTAAATATAAGGAATCTGATCATCGGAGGAAACTCCAAGCTGGTGGTAGACTGGCTGAAGGGAGACAAAAATGGGATGTGGAGGTACAGCAATGAAAACAAAAGATTCAAATGGCTGATTAGAGACATGGAAGTTACAGTAAACTGGGTTATGAGATGTGCAAACTCCTTTGTTGATGGGTTAGCAAAACAAGGGGTACCTTGTTTTGGGCTAAACTTTAATCTTTCTGCTTTGTTTGTTTCTTGTTGGTGGAGATAACAGACGTTTTCTCTTCCCCTTGTATCACTAACTTTTTTTATTGGAATTTCTTGTTATTGATCAAAAAAATAGGATAAGAGATTTCCTCTACTATTTTTACCTTAGGTTTTTGGCATTGTAAATGTGGTTTATCTTTTGAGGTTTTTGTGCCTTGCCCTGCTACCTAGGGTTGGAGATGATTGTACCCTGTTTCTCCTTTTAGTTGTTTATAAGAAAAGCAGGATTGAAGTATTTAAATTGTTTATATCACAAGGAAATGCAACAAAATTCTTTTGCTCTTCTCTAATCCTTAGAACAGGAGTGCACATAAACCTTATTGTGTAAAGTAGTTCATATTTACTCTGGCCATGTTTAAGAAAAATTAATAAGGAATAGGTGATTGTTATACTTTCCTCAGTGTTATGACACATTGCATAGAAAATAATGTGAAGTCCAAGAATTGGACGGACACCTTCCTAGATCATTAATCAGGACAACTCTCTTTGTTGGCAAGTGCTATTTTGTATCTGAGCATCTCAAGATTTAAAGTGATAAGAAGTGAATAAATCTTATTGTATAATATATTTGTCAGTCTTCCTAGGTCATTAGTTAGGACAATTCTTTGTTGGCAAGTGCTATTTTGTATCTGATCATCTCAAGATTTGAAGTGACAAGAAGTGCATAAACTTTATTGTATAATATTTTGTCAGTTATGGGGTGTGATGAAGGGATGAGATATCCATCGTATGGACGCCCGAATCTTGCGGAATAGAATGGGCGAATTTCAAAAATTTCTCTCCATCCTACTAGGAATCGTATTCCCTATTTTAGAAAAATCATATTTTTCAAGGATCAATCTTGAACCAAGAACCGAACCAGATCTGAACAAAAGCAGTAG